ATAACAGAAAGAATCATTCAAAGATAAGCTGCATCAAGAAATCCTAAAGATGGATTTGGGGAAGTTTTTCTATAGCTTAGCAGTATTCGCTCAAAAGCTTCCCATTTTTCTATCTACTTCATCTAACTAATGTAATGTTGGAACTCCTTGCTTGTTTTTTTTTGAAAAGCTCAAAAGCTTATGAAAATAGCTTTCTATTGCGTTGTTAGCATGTATAAATAGTGACAGCCAGGAAAAATTGCGCCACTCGACCGCCTCTCGTAGGTGCATCTGCTCGGCACGAGTGTGAGCGTGCAACTGTTTTTATATCACATATATCCATTGTGATGTCAGCTTATGTCTGCAATGATCGTTAATTCCATTCACAATGAGATGATTACACTTATTAGCATATTTGTATTGTTTTCCTGTTTTTCAAACTATTCCACAAATGCTATGAATTTCAGGTTTGTTCTTATGTTTACAAGAATGAACTGGCCGGTCGGATATGAACATAAATGTGCTCATGTGCTTGGAAGCAACATAGCCAGCCTTATGTGATACGGTTTTTGTACGGGCAATAATGGCGGTAGCTTAATTTTTTTTTCTCATAGATGGTTGTTATAGTACTAAGATTTCTGATGTCGGTTTCAAACTATAAACGTATGTAGTTGATTTATCTATCCATGCGTTTCTCTGTATTCATTTTTTTGTTGAACCACTCATCCATAATGGGTAGAAAGTTTATAGTCAATATATATTGCCCATAATATTTCCTTTTGAAGTTTTGTGTTCTTATAAACACTGTTCTTCTCTTGAGAATGGATGGATCTATTTCTATCACAACTTCTTTATAGCGCCATATTCATGTTTGGCACGAAATGCTCTACTAATTGCTGGATTTCTAAACATTTATATAAAATACTTCTTTTCAGTAGCAAGAAGAACAGACAACAATATCTCATTAATAAACAAGGGCAAACAATATGAATGATTCCATTTTCATGAGAACAAAGATTTGAACAATTCATTCCGTGATTCATGACTCCATTCCACCATTTCTGGCATGGCTGGGTGAAAGTTAACCAACTTGGGTATTGGCAAGTATCTAAAAGGCAAGATACACATTGCTTGTCATCATTTAATTGTCTTCTCCTATAAGTTCAAGATAATAAGTAAACTTACTTTATTTTTCTATCTTTAGAAGCCCGGTGATCAACATATTTTTTCTTCGACCGCCTACTTCTCAACTTTTGCATCTCAATATAATGTCTGAAAAGTAAGCATGAAAGCTGCGAAACAAAATCGAATGAAGTTGTTTCAGTAATGATTACTATAGTTTAAAGGACCTAGTCATTGCGACGGGATCATGTGTATTGCTCGTTTTCTTGTCTATCAATTCTTTTAAAAGAACTTGATAAAAATCGTCATCGTCGTAAATTTCTTCATCTTCTTCAGCCTGAATAAAGCTTTTCGACAATCAGTAAGCATAAAACAGCAAGAGTTTACCTCCACATTTCCACCAATACGCTCAATATCCGATTTTTTGGTTCTCGACCTCTTTAATATGCGAGACTTGTCGGAACACATCTAAATGTCCCATCTTCACTACAAAATCTTCACTCTCTTGTTTGATAAGGCAAAAAAGACGAATATAATGGAAAAATGCTGAGGTTGCAATAACACAATCGACGCTCGTCACGAAAGCATCAAAAACCAAAGAAGATTTCTCTTAGCGTAAATTACCTTTTCGATTTGGGTTACGATGTTTTCCTTTTCAAAAGCTGAGAAGTCGCTGCTAGCGTTCTTTACACGACGAGATGAGATCAACTTAGTACGTTCGTCCCATTTTGTTAAAGTAGCATCTCTGTAAAAAAAGAAAGTAGAACAGCCTGTCTGTGTAACATTCAAAGCTCAATGACAGAGCCCTCAAATGAGTGAATTCTTCAGAAAAAAAAAGATTTAAATAGTAACTCATGGATCTGCAATCCTATTTAGCTTTCATTTAGATATGTCTTTTATTATCAACAGATATAAGCGCAAAAAAGCAGAGAAGCAACACTCTTTATAAAAAGAATTCTTAAAAATAGTATCCATCATACGAACAAGAAATGACTTTTTGAAAACACTAACCTAAATTTGGTAAACCTCTCTTCACTTTCACAAAGACGCTTACTGAGCGATTTAATGTTGATGGAGGGAGCTCGAAGGGCTGCGACGCCTCCATTTTTTTCAGCCTCTTCATCTTCTTCACTGAAGAAAAAGGAAGTGAAGTCTATGCAACTCACAGATGTTGCGTTTTATGCACAAACGAGTGGATAATTGTCTATCATTTCAACTTACCTGACGCCATCACCGTCGGTATCGTCATCTTTCTCATCTTCACTGCTCTCAATTTCCTCATCGTCAGAATCTAGCGCTC